AGGTGGAGCATTGGTCTACGCAACCACGGCGTACACGGAACCCGGCCCGACCTTCGCGTACTTGTCTTTCGCGAAATGGGTTTAGTCTGCGTAACAAAACGGACGCTAACAGCCTCGGCGCCATTGGGATCACACTTATGTCCCTGTGGTTGGAACAGGTTTTCTGATAACCCTTCTTGTAGATGGGCGTAATAATCGATTCTCTCCATATATGGGGTCTATTTAACTATTGTGTACTAGCCGGCGCCGCGTTAGCGATTACCACTCACCGTCTCTCTCTCTCTCTCTCTCTCTCATTTTTAACCCTTTGGATGGGGTTATGGAAATGACACTGTTGTAGTTCTAGAATTGTAATATTGAGAAAACACTGGAGGGCAAAGCTCGTTTTCGATAACTTCTTTCAAACCACACAAAAAATAACTCCACTCATTGATTTCCAAACCACATAACATCATCATAATGGACCTGTCATGGTTATCACATTAGACAACTTCACTAACATGACAATTTTTAACTTTATGTAGCCCAAATATATATTTATATATTGGTGTTGACCAAACTTGTGCAACATCCTGATTTTCATCACATTTGTTCATCTCAATGCTTCGTTTTTCCAACCTCATTCACGGGATTGAATATGTTATCGCTCTCACACAAGATGCAACATATCTGATATAATACCCACTTATTTGTTTGCTTCTGATAGCCACATGCCATTAAAATGTACAATTTCGCGATTTTGACGATGGCTGCTGGTGCATCAGTTGTAAAATAACAGTCACAGTAGAAAACGTAAGAAGAATTTATTTATTAAAATGACTCAGACTTCATACAGGTATTGCATTTTCAAGTTGACTGCCAAACAGAATTTGTCAGTTTCCTCTAATGCACCCCACACCCTTATCACTGACTACCAATAATGAGACAGCTGACATATCCATTTCTGATACAGGAAAAGTTCTGGATTAAATTAAAATCCCAGCTGCTGTGCGGTAACTGAACGAATTTGACATTGAACTTGATCACTCCAGAGACCGTGTAAGTATGAAAAAATAATATTTATTTAGGTCGAACGGTTTTCTAGAAACCTCAAGCGAGATGATACACCAACCTCCATCTCCGAAAAATATGACTTCCGAAAATGCATCTGAAGAGTAGCGGTTACCGGAAACCTCCCTAGTCAGTGCCAAACATTTTGCGATATCCAGATTGGTGTGCAGAATAATAATAACAAGGCACTCGGTATCAACTTCCGTTCTAACACGTCAGGCGGGATGAATATTTACTTCTTTTCACGGGTAAAACGAAATTTATTAAAAAACTAGATCAGTAGATCAGCTTTTACCGCATGCTGAATTACTCGTTGACCACCAGTGAGATAAACCCATTGCCAAATGGACGGGCGACGTGATTTGAATTTGTTGGTCAAATCAATACGTATTCTGGTCTGTTGGGCGTTTCATAACGGCTTTATATCAGCCTCAGCTGCACTTTAAATTGAGCCACCATTTTCCAAACAAAAGCGTGAGGCAATAACGGACATTCAGCTCAAACTATCCTCCAGATTGGTTTTGTGCAACTCTTGTCTGTTGCGATCAAATACAACCATAGTCTGGATTTGATATGATCGATTTTCGCCCTCTCAGTTTGTGTCTTGATGGAGAAATTTCGGTGAATGTGCAACTACTTGGACTTATGTTCACATCGAAGCACTTCCACAAGACACTAAATGAGTCATCGGATTAATGCGCATCTGGATTAAGGCTTCAATAATCCAAAACATTTTGAATGTTTCATCCGGTTTGGGTATGGTGATGCTACAAGACGCTTATTCAACGCGCCGCACACCTCAAGGTTAACTTTCGAAGATCTACCTGTATGCTTCT